TAGGACCACCTCACTGCACTCTAACCCCGGTGTACAGACACCCAGTCCGACCCTCCTATCATTCATGAACGCTCCCGGTGCCGACGCACAAACAATTTGTAGTATCCCCTGACTTGTTCACGATATTGCTAATTAATGCACGTTCCTTAATCAATAAGATATCTGAACTAAGGACATTATTATTTATCGCCAAGTCTACTGTAGCTCTGATCACTGAATCATGGTGCTCATCCTCTGTACTTGATGTGCATATAGGTATAGATGATTACACTGCACACCGTGCAAATAGAGATTGCAAGCGTGGTGGAGGATGCCTCATATATACACATAACTCATTCGTAGTCAGGAAGGTGGAAGATGAAATACTGCACGAGGTACCTGATTCACTCTGGGTCGTCTTACAAGGAGATAAGTACAAGCTTCTCGTAGGCTGTGTTTATCGAGCACCAAGCTCAACCAAAGAAACTGATGCGTTATTAGCTAAATCATTCGCACACGCCTCCTCGTTTACTACTAATTACAAAATAATTGCAGGGGACTTCAATCTTCCAGAAGTCAATTGGTTAAGTAGTTCTGGCCCCCAACGCTTCGACGAATTACTTGCCACTATCGATTGTTATGGATGGCAGCAACACGTCCAGACACCTACTCGTGGTGACGACATGTTGGACCTTGTGTTTTGTCATGACACAATCCCAGTCTCCCCCTATGTTGGTAACAGATTTTCCAGTAGTGACCACAGAATAGCACTCTGCTCTCTGCCCTTCTCACCACTAAATACAGCAAAAAACGAGATTCAGGGAGAATGGTATGTCGTAGTTACAAACATACAGACTGGGGATTAGTCCAAGAACTCATTTTACCCTTTGTCTAGATACTTTTGCTTCTAAGAAAATAGTGAAATTAAGTAGACACCAAGCTGAATACATTCCAAGGGCATACTGCAATAAATTAAGGAAATTGAAGAAACAATACTATTGCACTAAGAATATATCACTACTGCACTCAATCCATGAATCTCTTGAATCTATCAAGTGCCTACGCTCTCAAGAGGACCTCGACGAAGAGTTGTAAGGGCACTTGAAAGTACCCCCAAAATTTATAACCTAACAACACTTCTTAAAAAACGAATGCAGTCGACGACGGAAATCCCCTATTTACTTCACAACAAAGTAATCTACAATGAGCCTGTCGCCATGCGTGAACTGTTCAGTGAATAGTTTGCAAACTTTAGTTTAGAAACGCGCATGCCTGATGAAACCGCCCCCAAAAACTAGCTCTACCCTTGAACGTGTAGTGTATATTGAACCTTCGAAATTTTACTTGAACGGACTCACCTGACCTTCAGCACTACTTCCTCATTCGATTCGTGAAACTCTTGTACGTTCTTGGTTCGCTCTCTCGTTGTGCTTTCATCCAGCGCACTCTCCGAGCCTACCACAGTCGACTGAAGATAAGTGCGCAACCTCTTATTTCTTATCAAATTCCATTTCTCTTTTGTATAAAAACAAATCTGTTCCAGTCACACTTGCCATCTCAAG